AGGTGTGTTAGCCATGGAAAATGCAGGGTGACAAAGATAGGGTAGGGGGATAGGTCTGGGTGGGATGCTCTTCGGAGGGTTGGTGTGGACTTGTAGGGCTGAATGGCCTCTTTCCACACCTTAGGGTTCTAAGTACTACCTCATCTCTCCCAGGAAACAGCTTGATTTTGTTGCTTCAACTCTTTCTTCCCAGCAATGGCTAGCTAGCATGTTACTTTTAATTCCTTCTTCTTGTCCCTTTCATTTCGGGAAGCAATTTATTCCAGAAAGAGTTATTGCTGATTCTTTCAGTCCATGAATTTATTGAAGTTCTACAGTTTACCTTGTCACGTCTGCAAGAAACAGACCACCAAATATAAAACTCCAAGGTCCAGGAGGCACATATCCTTTGATACAAGATCAAATCATCATAAAGTTTAGCCACAGAGGTCCAAATATCTGTGAAATATTATACATATTGAGTAATCAGAATACCATATTGCTGAGGAAAAATGTATGTATGTGTTTAGGTATCTTGAAGAGAGTATATACAATAATTCAAGATGAAAACAGAAGAGAACTTTGGCAACATTCCAAAGCTGTTCAATGGTGTGGGCAAGCTGAAGTAAGAATATCACATTGCTCTTTAAGAAGTTACCAAACCCATCTGCTTTTACGCTCCTGGGAAGATTCTTCGTCCTTTGACGGGCAAAGTAAAATCACAGTTACCATGATTGCAAGTAGAGTTATATTGTCAGAGACAGAACTGACAGAATGGTGCTCAGGATTAGCAAGCAATTGTAGGGCTGAGATTGGTGGGGGGAGCTGCGTTCTATTTTGGCTGTCGATTGTGGTTTGGCAAGAAACCAGTTTTGCACAAAACCTGATGCCAACTGTGGGTTCTGGAAAATACTCTTGAACAAGGACTCAAGATTACTGATGACTTTATTGCATCATTCTGTGTGGTATTCCGTCAAAAGTCCACTGTTTGGGATTCCTCTGCACCAGAGATTTTCCAATGGAAATGTTGAGAATCCTGAATCAGAAACAGGGAAACAATTACCATTTGTATGACGTCCTAGTAGATGGTGAATCAGAAAGGGAATATAACAAGAGGGTCAGGGATGTGTTAAAGGCAGCACTGAAGGCAAGCCTTACACTGTATTAAAAATGCCGATTCTCGAGAAAGACGACTACGTTTTTAGGAAACATTGTTCAAGAACAAGGAACGTTGGCAGATCTAAAGAGGTGAAGCCAATGGTGACTTCTGACACCAAGATGCAAAAATGACGCACAGCATTTCTTAGGCATGGTAAATCAAGTGGGAATGTTTATCTCCAACTTAACCAGTCTTAACCATAAGAGAACTTTTGAAAGAAATGCAAGCAATGATATTGGAGTCAGGAACAGACTGCAGTTTTTGAAAGAATTAAAGAGAAGTTACTTACTGCTAATGTTAGAGCACATTTCAAACTGGGCTTATTCACTATACTAATTGGAATGCATTGTCTCCAGGGCTAGCAGCAATCCTTAATCAAGTACAAAGCAAAGCACATGAAAGCTGGACTATTATGTCAGGATCTTTGATGGAGGTTGAACAAAGTATGCAACCATGGAGAAGGAAGTGTTCGTCATTACATGGGGATGTGTAACTAAACATTTACTGACAATTGAGGGCAAACTCAATCAAATTAGTGCATCTTGGATTCAGCCAAATTAATGCAGCTTAAAATCTGTCAAGGGATACAAGATCAATTGCTAAAGAGGCGCAATATGCAAAAACAACACTTGACAATAGTGGAAGATTTATTGGTCTACACTCATGGAATGGTTATATCATAGTTGGTGCAAAGTAAAATCCTGCTGAAACCCCAAGATGGACAACTAGGAGTCATGGAGTGCAGAGCAAGATCACAGCAATCAGTGTGGTGCCCAGACATTTCAAAAGGTCATGCCGAATGTGTGCCACCCATAGCCAAGTGCCAACAGAGCCAATGATTTCATCAAGATTTCTGCAAAGGTCATGGGAATGGCTAGCAATGGATTCGATTGATTTCACAGTGTGGGCATGTTTCATTCAACCACAACAGACTGGGTGACCAGGGCACCAAACAGTATCCTGTGATATAAAGTTTCTGTGATGTGGAGGTGCCGGTGTTGGACTGGGGTGAATAAAGTCAGAAGTCGCACGACACCAGGTTATAGTCCAACAGGTTTATTCGAAATCACAAGCTTTTGGAACGATTCTCCTTGTGATCACTTCACCTGACGAAGAAGCAACGCTCTGAAAGCTTGTGATTTCGAATAAGCCTGTTGGACTATAACCTGGTGCCGTGTGACTTCTGGTAAAGTTTCCAGGAAGAATTGGTATCAGGCAATGGAGCTCAGTTTATGAACAAAGATTCTGGAGGTCGGCATAAGCCAGGTGAAAAGTTTATACACCATCTTCAGTTGAAAGGCGAGATGGAAAGAGCAGTCAAGGCTATGAAGCCACTGTTACATAAGAATCCAGAATGGGAATTCGCTCAGTTTGGTTACATAGCAGCACCATTGAATCATGAGTACTCAGCAGTGGTATTGCTAATGGAGAGAAGGTTAAAAATGATGTACCAGTTTTAGAATACAATCTGAAGCCAACTATAACCTCTCGAGGTCACAAGGCGATAAAACAACTGGAGAGAAAACACAGCAAAAAGCAGCAAAGGTAGTATAATTTTAGACACAGGGTGGAAAATCTGCCCACCTTAAAGCCAGGGTAGAAAGCCTGGTTCAGGAACATGAGATCAGGAGGGATGGTCATCAGGGAAACAAATCAACCAAGATGGTATATTGTCAGAATGCCCCATGTAGGAGCAACAGGAAGACATGGATGTTATTCAAACCAAGAAACAAGACTATGATTATCACACGTGGAATATTCTTATCTATAACATTGCAGACCATATACCAAATGGTACAACTACTCCAGAAACAGTGCAACACAGACCAGTGATAATGATGAGATGATGTTAATGATTCTGCCAATCATTACAAATCTACTGAAGCAAGTGAAAGCAAACGCTGAAATAAATGTGGAGCAAGTGAAGAGAAACTGGAGGATGGGGAAGTGTAAGGTTAGAGGTGCGAAATGTGGTACAATGGAATTCATACAAATCATTATCATGAGGGGGGAGGCAATGGTCTAGTTGTATGATTGCTGGACTCTTCATCCAGAAACCCAGGTAATGCTCCAGGGACCTGGGTTCAAATCCTGCCTTGGCAAATGTTGGAATTTGAATTCAATAAAAATCTGGAATTAAAAGTCTGATACCTGTCAATCCATCGCCAATTGTTGGAAAAACCCATCTGGTTCATTAATGTCCTTTAGGGAATGAAGCTGCCATCCCTACTGGGCCTGGCCTATATTTGATTGCAGATGCACAGCAATGTTAGTTGACTCCTAACTACCCTCTGGACAATTAATGCTGGCCTAGTCAGCAACACGCTCATCCCATGAATGAATTTTAAAGAAGTATCTGATTACATGACTCTTACTTCAGTAAGAGAGAGGACACCAGTCTAGAATAAGCATGTGAAGAGAGGGAGGTGTATTTGTAAATAAATAAGTGTCACAGTATATGAAAGTTGAGGAGCCTTACTTAAGGGCCTTGAGATAAGGACCAAGCAGCCTGAGGCACAGATGATGAGCAGACACCTACAGCAAACCCAGGTGTCCCAATTTGCAGGTAACAGTATTGCTGTAAGCACAAAATAAAGCAAATTTCACTCCCAATAAACATGAAGTGAAATTAGGGTCTGGCCCACACTTCGTTCAGTGTGTGATTTATTTATTGCCTTCTGAAGTGGACTTGCAAGTGAACCAATTGCAAAAACCATTGCTATAAAGTATTGTATAGAAACGGGTCAACCAGGGTCCTGCTGATGTATGCTACACATGACTCTGCTCTCTAAGTTCTTCCTGCCACTGAATGCACACGATCTTCTGTCTCTTCTTCCCATTAAACATCTATATGTTCTTCATCAAAGTGGTCTACCATCCGTTATTGGTTGTTGAATGTAGAGTGTTGATGAAGGGTCATTCACTTGATTGGCTAGGTAGGGAAGTCTCTTGCTGGCAGTGAGCTCAGTGGTGGGGGTCACCCAGACCTTTGCTCCCAACCCCCCCTTACTCCCTCCACCAGATTAAGTTCTGGGCAGAAGGGGATGAGCGCCAACTGAGGCCCTCTCGTGGCCAATTAAGGGTCAGTTAAGGGTCTCATTCTGACATCATTGGGCTCAGCTGGCTGAAAGTTGACATGTTGTCATGTGTCAAATATTGAGGACTGCTTTTCATCCAGGTTGGTTTGACAGTGGAGGCACCTCGATCAAAGTGCCTGGTCAAGAGATATCGGGAAGGTTTTCTTTTTGCAAGAGGGGATGCTTTGTTGGGAATCATCCCAACATCCTTATGTTCAACATTCCTGCCTGCTGTCACTAGCCTGAGAAACTCAGCACATATGTGGCCTGTGTTCCCCACTATCCACTCTGAGGATGTCCTTCCAACAGCTTCCTCAGTGATATTGCAAGGTTTGCCAGGCTCTTATTGGCCAGCTGTTCTCGCTATTGGACCTTCGGCCTCCTCAGGTCTTAATTCCTTGATGGCCTCACAATTGCCTGATTAGCTGTAGTTTGGCCGAGCCTCCCGAATAGAGACTGTGGCTGAGGAGACCCTCAACACTATAACGAGACTGCACTCATTAACTTTGTTTCTCTCTCCAGTCTACCCAGTGCTTTCTATGTTAATTTCTGATTTCTACCACCCACAGTGCTCAGCCTTTCAACTACTGAAGTTTGTTTTCCAATGACACAGCCATTCTGCATGTTTATCCATATCTGACTGTATTCTGATGGCTTGTTGTGACATTGACCAGGTCCAAAGGACCCAAGGCGATTTAAGGACAGTCAGCAGTGCGCTCATTTCTTCTGCTGTTTTCTTTTTGAGTAGCAATCTGTAAGAATGTTTTCCTCTTTCTCTTCACAAGGTCCCGATGCTTGAAAAAGGAATAAAACTTCACGGGAAAAGAGTGCAGGATGACCTTCGACCTTTCCATGACCGGATGGAAGAATGTTTCAAACAGCTAAAACTAAAAGTGCAGAAGGAATATGGATTAAGGGAGCTGGTAAGTGAACTAGAATCGCTTTATCCTTTTCTCAAGGAGTAATTCTTTCCTCATTATGTTTCCTAATACGTTCTGGGGTTACTGGAGCATGTCGGAGTGTTGGGGAGGGAGCGGAAATCGAAGCCCCCTCTCTGAACCCCAAAGTTTTCTACCTCCCTTTCCTGTAAAAAAAAAGGCTTATCTGTCCATAGGTTGATAGTGACAAGTTTTGAATACGTTTAATTGCTGCTGAAAAGATAGAATAGTTCAGCACATTCACAGGCCTCAAGCCTGCCATCACCATGTTCGGTTTTGCCATTTTTGAAGTTGTACTTGGAGATTTCTCAGCAGTAAGTCAAAATATTCATGTTAAATTTTGCTGTCTACTATTTTGGCAGAAGCCTTCACCTTTTTCATCATTTGACAAGCTTTTAATGGGGTAAAGATTTGAAAGAAAGAAAGCAAGTCATGAATTTATGTTGCTCTTGACAACCACCAGATGTCTCAAAGCACTTTGCAGCCAATGCAGTACTTTTTGAACCCTAGTCTTAGAATCATAGAATCCCTACAGTGTAGAAAGATGCCATTTGGCCCATCAAGTCTGTTCTGACCCTCCAAAGAGAATCTCACCTAGGCCCAGCACCGCCACCCCCCACAATCCCTAACACCATATTTCCAACAGCTAACCCACCTAACCTGCACATCCCTGGGCACTACGGTGCAATTCAGCATGGCTAATCTATCTAACCTGCTCATGTGGGAGGAAATTGGAGCACCAGGCAGAAACCCACGCAGACATGGGGAGAACATGCAAACTCAATGCAGACAGTCACCAGAGGCTGGAATGAAGCGTGGGTCCCCGGCACTGTACAGCAGCAGTGCCAATTTACGCCCATTACAGTTGTAATGTAGGAAAAACAAACTTCCACATACTACAGTGTGACAACGACCAGGTTGAGGGATAACTGGTGGTCAGGACACCCAAGACAGTCACCCTGCCCTTTTTGTTTTCAAGAATGAGATCTTTTACCTCTACCTGAGCAGGTAGATATGGGGCCTCGGTTTAGTATCTCATTCGAAAGATAGCAGCTCTGACCGTGCAACATTCCCTCGGTACTAGTTGGAGTAGATCTCCAACCCTTAATCTGCTGACTCAAGTGCAGCAGTGCCAACACTGAACCAAGGCAGATCTATTAAGTATACCTTGACTTCTCACCTCTGTGTTCTTTCCTACATTTGTTCCAACAGCCAGATTTTGATGAAAAACGAACAAGCCGACCAAGGTCCATGCTGAGATCCTATCGTCAAGTGTCCATGATCTCCCTTTCCTCCCTCAATGCTGAATGCAACACACCAATCAAAGGGCCTGCTGACAGGTGAGACATAAGCACTGATCTCATTATGGTCGACTCTACACACAGTTTATGAACATCAGTGTACACAGCAAGCTCTTTTACAACTTCAGACTGGAAAGTGGAGGACTGTCTATAGTTTTGCTCTCCTTTCTTGAAAAAGGACCTATTGGTACTGGGGGCGGGGTGTGCAGAGGAGGTTCACTAGGTTGATTCTGGAGTTGAGAGGGTTGGCTTGTGAGGAGAGATTGAGTAGACTGGGACTATATCTACTGGAATTTGGAAGAATGAGGGAAGGATCTTATAGAAACATATAAAATTATGAAGGTAATAGATAAAACAGAACCAGGGAGTTTGTTTCCACTATTGAGTGAAACTAGGACTAGAGGTCAAAGCCTCAAAATAAGGAGGAGCAGTTTTAGAGCTTAGTTGAGGAGGAACTTCTTCACCCAAAGTATTGTGAATCTGTGGAATTCCCTGCCCAATGAGCAGTTGAGGCTACCTTGTTGAATGTTTTTCAGGCAAACATGGATAGATTTTTGAACAGTAATAGAATTAAGGTGTTATGGTGAGTAGGTGGGTAAATGGAGCTGTGTCCAGAAAAAGATCAGCCATGATCTTATCGGATGGCAGAACAGGCTCGAGGGGGCCAGACGGCCTACTCCTGCTCCTGGTTCTTACGTTCATTGTGCTATCAATAGAATTTACATTACTATGGGAACCACGTTAATTGAAAAAACCTTTATAGAAAAAAAGCTGCTAAAAATCATGAGATTGAGGAGTTATTGTCGATGTAAGTATTGACAGGATCGGAGAAACAGGACCGAAATAGGATCTAAAATAGGCAGTGCAAATCTTTTTCTTTCAAAGTCTCATGAATCTGTGGTCCTGTAAAGATGGTGGAAACAGAGTCCTTAAATATATTAAGATAGATGTGGATAGATTCTTGTTAATCAAGTGAGTGAAAGGTTTTTAAAGATAGCCAGAAATGTGGATTTGAGGTTACGTCGAGATAGCCATAATCTTCTTGAATAGATAAGCAGGCTCGAAGGTCCAAACATCCTACTCTTGCTCCTTCTTTGTATGTTAGTATGCAGACTTACTGCAGATAACCATCACAGAGGCACTTCAGTTTAGACTCAGCTCTGATTAGATGACTGCCTTATGAACGTAGAAGGAGCTTCCTTACTTTTAAATGTTGAACTTTGTTCCTTTTAGGGAATATTCTCAGACTTATCAGTTCTGCTGTGTGGATTGAAGGCACAGGCTAGCTGATGTACAGTAAGTAGTCGAGTCAGGATGTTGGAGGCTGTGTTGTGCGGGTAGGCGGTGAGGTAGTTGAAAGTGTTGCTGATAGTCAGTAACTCTGGTGATAGGTGAGACATGCAAAACAGGAAGCTCCCTGCTTTGATTTGTATTGTGAATGAACTCAGTTCCATCAAGGTCTGCCTGATTTTACCTGAACCTGGAAATGATGTGTGCACATCTGTGTTTTAACTCTTTCATAGAGCGATCATCCCTCTTCCTTGATCTTTTCCAAACTTTCCTTGATGGAGGTTTTTTTCTATTCATTTGTGGGATGTGGGCATCGCTGGCTGGCAAGCTTTTCTTGGTCCTCCCTAGTTGCCCTTGAGAAGGTGGTGGTGAGCTGGCTTCTTGAATTGCTGCAGTCTCTCTGCTGTGAATTGGCCCACAAGCTATTAGGGAGGGAATTCCAGGATTTGTACCCAGCGACAGTGAAGGAACGGCGACATATTTCCAAGTCAGGATGGTGAGTGGCTCGGAGGGGTACTTGGAGGTGGTGGTGTTCCCATATATCTGCTGCCCTTGTCCTTCTAGATGGAAGAGATCATGGGTTTGGAAGGTGCTGTCTGAGGATCTTTGGTGAATTTCTGCAGTGCATCTTGTAGATAGTACACACTGCTGCTACTGAGCGTCTCTGGTGGAGGGAGTCAATGCTTGTGGATATAGTGCCAAACAAGTGGGCTGCTTTGTCCTACTTCTTGAGTGTTGTTGGGGCTGCACTCATCCAGGCAAGTGGGGAGTATTCCATCACACTCCTGACTTATGCCTTCTAGATTGGGGGACAGGCTTTGAGGAGACAGGAGGTGCGTTACTCGCCGCAGTGTTCCCAGCTTCTGACCTACTCTTGTAGCCACTGTGTTTATGTGGTGAGTCCAGCTGAGTTTCTGGTCAATGGCAACCCACAAGATGTTGATAGTGGGGCATCCAGTGATAGTAACACCATTGAATGTCAAGGGACGGTGGTTAGATTGTCTCTTATTGGTGATGGTCATAGCCTGGCATTTGTGTGGCTCCAATGTCACTTGCCATTTGTCAGCCCGAGCGGCAAGTGACATTCGCATCACACATATGACAGGCTATGACTATGGGGTTCCTGGGTTAAAGCAGAATTAAAGCCACTAGCAAAACCCATCAAAGTGCTGTTTTCATCACCCAGCTTCGAAAAGGAGGAGTCAACACAGGGAAAGTATTAGTTGTGAAAAAAATTGACAGAAGCTACTTTAACCAACATTGCCTTAGTAATGGGACTGGGGGAGGTGACGGCATGGTGCTATTATTGCTGGGCTGTTAATCCATAGACCTAGGTAACAGTCTGGGGACCTGGGTTCAAATCCTGCTGCAGCAGATGGTTGAATTTGAATCCAATAAAAATAAGGAATTCAGAGTTTCACAATAGCCATGAAACTGTGGCCTGGGATTCCAACAGGGGGGTTGGGTTCTTAAGCCCAGAGCTGTGAAGTAGACTTTGTCTTTAAATTCAGTTTTTTTTTGTCCTTTATTGCAATACCATGGAAGGACTGTTATTCTGAACTTTTCAATCTCTTTATTTTTCTGATCAATTATGACAATTTTGTACTTTTGAAGGTCTGTAATGCTGTCCTATTATTTCTTTATTTTCTAATGTTTTTCCTAAGAATTTTTACTCAAGAAACTGTACCTAGGCACCATTGTACCTAAGATGACACCATAAGTGATGAATTGTAAACTTTTCACTGTAATCATGTGAGTATATTGCTGATTGTTGGGGAAAAACCCACCTGGTTCACTCATGTCTTTTCAGGAAGGAAACTGCCATCCTTACCTGGACATATGACTCCAGACCTACAGCAATGTGGTTGACTCTTACCTGCATTTTGGGATAGGCAATAAATGCTGGCCTAGTCAGCAACACCCTCATAACAGAATGATTTTTTTTAAAATTGCTCTCTGAAATGCTGTGGGCACTTATTATTAATATTAAAGAATTTTTAAGTGTGCAAGGGTTAATGGTGTACTTAAAGAACCATACCTTAATAGACACTAATAGAATGCAAGTTAAGTTAGTTGGTGGCACGGTGGCTCAGTGGTTAGCACTGCTGCCTCACAGCGTGAGGGACCTGGGTTCAATTCCACCTGCCTGTGCGGAGTTTGCACATTCTCCCTGTGTCTGTGTGGGCGTGCTCTGGTTTCCTCCCGTGGTACACAGATGTGCAGGCTAGGTGGGTTGGCCATGTTAAATTGCCTGTAGTGTTCTGGGATGTGTAGAGTGATGGGTCTGGGTGGGATGCTCTGAAGGTCAATGTGGACTTGTTGGGTTGAAGGGCCTGTTTCCACACTGTAGGGATTCTATTCTATTCTAAAATTGTAGGCCTAACCATTCAGATGAGAGAGGCTTGGTGGCTTACAATTTTAACAAAGTTTAAATATTCCCCTCCCTTCCAACATAGCACTTAAACAGCCTGTGTCTGTCTCTCTTCTTTCCTGATAAGAACATACTTCCAGTTTCTCAGTTGTTCGTCCTGAGAAAAAGTTCTCCATGTTTGGGGTGGTATTGTATCTCAGTGGTTAGCACTGCTGCCTCACGTCGCCAGGGGCCCCAGTTTGCATCCACCCTCAGGTAACTGTGTATGTGGAGTTTGCACATTCTCCCTGAGTCTGTGTGGGCTTCCTCCGGGTGCTCCAGTTTCCTGTGCGGGTTAGGTGGGCTGGCCATGCTAAATTGCCCCATAGAGTCCAGGGATGTGCACTTGAGATGAATTAGCCATGGGAAATGTAACAATACAGGGGTGGGTCTAGGTGGGATGATCTTTGGATGGTCAGTGTGGACTTGATGGGCTGAGTGGCCTGATTCCATACTGTAAGGATTCTATGTTGTGTCTTCAATGTGCCTTTCACCAGTTTGAGCTCACCACGTCAAAGACTGGAAAAGATATCCATATTAAGGCTCAGAAACTCTGAACTGAGTGAACTCAACAGGATACTGATTGTTGTTGGGGGGGGGCGCGCACGCTTCGACAGTGGCCACATGCCAATTTCTGTACCAATTGTACCATGGCCCTTTTCTGAAGAAGGGTCTAGGCCCGAAACGTCAGCCTTCCTGCTCCTCTGATGCTGCTTGGCCTGCTGTGTTCATCCAGCTCTACACCTTGTTATCTAGGATACTGATTTGTTTTGTTTTTACCACTTTTAAAAGGAGCTGAATAAATTCAGTGCTTAGCTTATGCCAGTGTTCCCTTTGTTGCTTCAAGCAGTGTGGTTCCTGACAGCCCCAGGCCAAGGACGCCAATCCTTAAATCTGAAGAAAAGGCTCCAGACCGAGCTATCAAAGAGGAAGGGGAGGTTAAACTGAGGAGGGAGAGGAAGAGACAGAAGAGAAGTAGCGTGGTGTTTGCAGACAGCAAGACAGAGCCTTCAGATACCAAACGGGTAAGCAGCATAAGAAACCTAATATGAGTGTAAAACGTGATAAAGCAAAGAATAGCTAACACATTGACTGGTGTACCTGGCTCTGAGCTGGATACTGGCATCCCTGCTGGTTTGGAATATTTCTCAGTATATCGCAGATATTTACAGACCAAAATTTGATGCAGTTCAGTATAATAGAGCCCCACAAAGCAGGGCCACACCACACCTATCTTTGAGCATCCACTTAGAGTCATAGAGATGTACAGTACGGAAACAGACCCTTCAGTCCAACTTGTCCATGTTGATCAGACATCCTAAATTAATATAGTCCCACTTGCCAGCATTTGGTCCATATCCCTCTAAACCTTTCCCAGTCATGTACCCATCCAGATCCTTTTAAATGTTGTAATTGTACCAGCCTCCACCACTTCCTGTCGCAGCTCATTCCATACATGCACCATTTCTCAACCTCCAACATGGAAGTGTGGTTTCTGAGCTCCAAATTACACTTAATTTGTGAATTAAAGTTTCATTAATGAACTCCGTCTCCTCATGAGAATCTAAAGTGCTGGTTTGAAGAGACTGTGTTACTTTCAATCACCAATGGGATTGATGAGTGAATAAATAATTTACAGTTCTTCAGTGGTATATGAAACCCACTGAAACTTCAGTGTGGGCAGAATTCCCCAGCTTCATGTTCTGTTGGATATCTGCAAGCTTCTCTTTGGATAATGTGTGTACGGACATCAAAATAAAAGGGAAAATACCAGCAACGCTTAAAAACACAGCTGGGTTTGGCTTGATCTTAACCAGTTTCTACTGGAATGAATTTGGCCTCAGCTCAAAACAAATGTGTCACTCTGACACCACAGTTTTATTGCTGTGTGAAATGAAGAGGCAACACGTTGGTGAGCTGGCTGTCATTAGTGCATCGTGGGTGTAGATTCTCTCCATAGCCAACTTGTGCTGCACCTACTTTGGAGATGTATCTTGGCAGTTTGTCTACAGAGCTTCACTCTGAATTCAACCCTAATTGTACCTGCTCTAAGGGTGTTTCATGGGACATTGTAAAGGGAGTTTTACTCTGTTTTCAAACCATTTTGTACCTGTCCTGAGGGTGTTTCATGGGATATTGTAAAGGGTGCTTTACACTTTAACCAACCCATAGTGTACCTGCCCTGGGCATGTTTCATGGGACATTATAGAGGGAGCTTTACTCTGTATCCAATCCACGCTGTATCAACCTGGTGTGTTAGTATAGAGAAAGTTTAACACTGTATTTAACTTTTGCTGTACATTCCATGTGAGTGTACAATGGGACAGTGTGGAGGCAATTTTATCCTTTGCCTGACACAAGGGTGATGCTTTGAGTTGTGAAAGTCTACTTTATCCAACCAATGCTATATCTGGTTCGGGAATATTTGAAGGGAACAGCATGAAACCAACTAACATGTACCTAACTCCATGGTTCGAATTTGGGAGTGTTTAATATTGAGACTAATTGTCTGAATAATTTTTTAAAAATTCCTTCCCTTAATGGCTGCATATATTTCCCCTACACTGTAATGCTGGTTCGTGAGATTTTTGTTTTTTGTCATTTCCAGCTGTCAAGGAAACAGGAGTTTCGGAGTGATACCAACTTGTCAGACCAAGCCGAGAAACGCCCATCTTCTGTGCTCAAGCAGATGAGCTTTGCCAGCAGATCAGTACCAACAATCCCAGGTAGTGTGTGGGAAAACTGCAGGAAGTATTCAAGATTACAGTAAACATCTCAGCCATGTCCTAGGGATGTAGGAATTGCTGTTCAGAAAAAAAGAACAGAAACAACTCAGTTTGCCTTCTCTGTGATAGTTGATGTTTTGCATTGTAAATGACTCATCACAGGAATGAATCTTTTATCAATCAGTTCACACAGTGACATGAGAGGAGGAATGTTCTCCTCAGCGCTGAAGAGTTTTGGGAATGACACATTCTAAATCACCTCTATTCACTTAAACATTCTCACTACTCCCGTGATGTATCCCAGTTAATCCCACTAGCTGATCTAAGCCTGATTGCATTTCAAGCGGTGAGTTCTCTTTCTCACATCATTATCAGTCCATCTAGATTTGTCCAAACTTAGACACCCTCAAAGAACTTGCTTTTTAACACTTACATCGAGGAATAAATGTTGGCCAGGCATGGATTGAGAATCCATTGACAGACAGGAAACAGAGTGGGAGTAAATGGGTCTTTTTCCAAGTGGCAGGCAGTGACTAGTGGGGTAATGCAAGGACCCAGATAGGCACCGTATATATATGAAGGAACTAAATGCAACATTTCCAAGTTTGCTGACAATACAAAAACTGGGCGGGTTTGTAAGTTGTGAGAGGATAGGAAGCTTCAAGGTGATTTAGACAAGTTCAGTGAGTGGACAAACACATGGCAGATGTAGCACAACGTGACAGAGTGTGAAGTTATACACTTTGGTGTGAAAACAGAAAGGAATAATATTATTTAAATGGTGTTGTATTGGGAAGTGCAGATGTCCGTAGGGATCTGGGTCTCCTTGTATACTAATCAATGAAAATAAACAAGCTGGTGCTGCAAGCAATTAGTAAAGCAAATGATATATAGGCCTTCATGACGAGAGGATTTGAGTTTAGAAGTAGGGATGTCTTACTGCACTCATACAGAGCCTTGCTGAGATTACGCCAGCCAGGAGCATTGTTTGCAGTTTTGCTTCCGCTACCTAAGGCAGGATATGCCATAGATGGAGTGCAGTGGAGAGTCACCAGGCTGCCATGGGGAATGGCAGGATTGTCCACTGAAGACGAAGTGCTTTGACTGGGCCTGTATTCACTAGATTATAGAAGGCTGAGGAGTGATCTGATTGAAACATACAAAATTCAAATAGAGCTGGACAAAGTAGATGCAGGAAGGACATTTTTTCTGTTTGGGGAGAATAGAACTAGGGAACATAGTTAAAGGATATGGAGTGGACTATTTAGGATTGAAACGAGGGTAGTGAACCTGTGGCATTCTCTACCACAGAAGGCTGTGGAAATAGTGGAATATGTTCAAAAATGAAATAGATAAGTGTTTAGATTTTAAAAGCATCAAGTGGTATGGAGAGGAAGTAGAAAATGGCTTCGATATTGAGGATGAACCATGACCATATTGAATGGAACAGCATGTTCAAAGTGATGAATAGCCTACTCCTGCTCCAAGTCTGTATGTTTCTATGCTCTTCTTCAAATTAGGTCTTGCTTTCATATCTCCCAAAAGACACCATCATCACACTGAAGTATCAGCTTGAGTCACCGAAATGGGGTTTGAACTCATTGCTTTCTGTCTCCAAGGCTCACTAGCCTGACTTGGAAACATATTGCCTCTCCTTCAGTGTCACCAGGTCCCAGTTGTGGAACTCCCTTCCAGACAGTACTGTGGGAGTCACTATACTCTAAAGGACTGCAGTGGTTCAAGAAGGCAGTTCATCCCCTTGTCCAGGGCTCTTAGAGGGTGGGACAATAAATGCTGACCCTGCCAGTGATGCCCAGATCCTGTGAATGAATAAAAATAGATGAGTGCTAACCACTGAGCCACAGTTTATACCAGGGCTAATACATCATAGAGCAGTGCTGTACTACAGTGCCAAACTCCAATAACCAGTACTGCTGATGCACGCGAATTCAAAAACAAAATATGGTGGGTACTGAAAACCAGAAATCAAACCAAAAAACAAAGTCATCTCAACCTGGACCATTAACTTAGTTTGCCTCCACAGATAAACACAGAAACATATAATAAGAAATAGGAGCAGGAGTAGACCATCTGGCTCCTCGAGCCTGTTCTGCCTTAAGATCATGGCTGATCTTTTTGTGGACTCAGCTCCACTCACCTGCCTGCTCACTATAACCCTTGATTCTATTACTATTCAAAATTCTATCCATCCTTGCCTTAAAAATGAGGCAGGTCTCAATGCTTCACTGGGCAGGGAATTCTACACATTCACAACCCTTTGGATAAAGAAGTTTCCCCTCAACTCAGTCCTAAATCTGCTTTCCTTTATTTTGACGCTGCTGTGTATTTCTAACGTGTTTCATTGTTTTTTATTGCTCTGGCCCATTGTTTTTAAATACACCCGGAAGCAGACAATTTACTCAGAAAAGAGGGCATTTCCCTAATAACTATCCCTTTCTCGAGGATTGATGTCTTCAACGTGTCTCAACCCTTTCCAGCTTTGATTTTTGCCGTGGCAAATGGTGGTGAAGACCAAAACCTTGACCAGAATGCACTGAAAAGGATGAGCCAGCCGACATTTATGCTGTCCCTCGATGAAGATGACGAAGAGAGAAAGAACCCTCCCAAAAGTAAAAAAGCTTCCTTCTTTAAGAACCGGGTAAGTCGTTGATGTTTTGGACCATGTTTGAGGAGTTTTTTTGTTTTAGGCAACGTATGATTGAGGATCTGGGCTGGTACCAATTTGCTGCCATGATGTGAATTCACTCCAAGCTAAGCAGGGTCAGATCCCAATCAAATAACAGGGCAGGGGGAGAGGAGGGTGATCTCTCTCGGGGGTTCAATGTGCTGCTATGCCTCTGATAGTGAATCATGGCACCCAGAAAGATGCCAGCTTTTTTAGGAACAATGATAGGTGTAAACTGTTCCACCATTCAGTTAACTTATGGTTGATCTGTACCTAATCTCCAACTACCCATGTTTGATCCATCTCCCATATTGTTCTTACTGAGCTAAAATCTGTGAATCTCAGTTGGCTTTATTTTCAGTTATCCCACAACACGGGCAATGTTTTTCGGAAGGGTTTCCTTTATGTGAAAACCTGATTTCTGATCAGACTCCAAAGTGGCTTAGCTCCAACTTGAACTCGGCTAATGTGGAACAAAAACAGAAATTGCTGGAAAAGTTCAGCAGGTCTGGCAGCATCTGTGGAGAGAAATCAGAGTGAACATTTTGGGGTCAAGTGACCCTTCCTCAGAACACAGGTTAATGCAGATTCCCTCGCCATAGCTTCTATCTCCTTTTTTAAATTACTTTATCATTTCAAATTCTTCAACGAGATCGCAGTCTGTCTTCTAGACTCGATGGAATACAAGCCACATTTATGCGGCTTGTTCTCATAATGTAATCCTAATCTTGAGAGGCAACTGGAGATGCTGGTGGGGCATTTGGGCATTTGGTACAAAATTCCACTAGGATCGCTCTCCAGTACTGTCCCATCTCCGAGGGGAGGGGAGCAGTCTGCCAATGGATTCAAAAACTGACTCTCCAAGAGTGGGCAAACCAATTGAGACAATCGAAGCCGCACTTAAAGACCATTATTTCCACACTGCCAGATGGGAACCCTCCACTGAATCTGGATCCCACGATAAATGTGGAGGTGTCCTGAGGTCAGAAATTGCTCTCCGTGCCTCTGTGACACTGCCACATGGCTGAAACAATCAAAATTCATTCAGGAAGAGGGTCTGATCCTGCAATTCTGATATATTTAACAGTGCCAGGGCTTCCACGACAGAACCTATTATGTCTCTTCAGAGAGGTTCAATTTTGAGACCACCTTATACTCACCTTTTGCTGATCAGCAACACTCACTTCTCCCTATAGAGCTGTCCATCAGTAAATGCAGACACAGAGTGTTACTGGTACAAGATTACCCCGACATGTGAACATTAGACACCATCAGAAATGGCACCAGTCCTCGATTACTTTCCAAATCTAGTATATTTTGTCCCTTATGATTCTGACGAATCTATTCTGCATTCCTCTGACTTTAGCATACCCTTCCCGAGGTACAATGCCCAAAATTGAAACCTCTAGACTATACTCCGTTAACTAATTTCACCTGAAGTGGTAGAGATGTTATAATTCAGTGTCTTTAAGTTAGCAAATGGGGTAAATTGACCAGGATTCTAGCTTGTGACCACTTTCCAGTGTGCAGACATTAGGTCAAGACAATGGTCAGATTAGGCACAGTATTGTACCAAATCCTCGACTCCCCTTTCCCCAGTTCACATAGAGAGTGAGGGTGGCACATGACAACATAGAATACAATAAGGAAAAGAAAACTTCAAGCCTAAATATAGACGACTGAGGAGATTAATAATACATGTTCTGAGGAAGGGTCACCGGACCCGAAATGTTCACTTTGATTTTTCTTCAGAGATGCTGCCAGACCTGCTGAGCTTTCCCAGCAACTTCTGTTTTTGTTGTTGTTAATAATACAGTTGATGATTTCCAAATGGTATTCAGCAGAATGAAGGGACCAAAACAGCATGATCTTTGCACGCAATGGAGTCGACCGATGAGTGTTTCATGTTGTTCTTGTACTTTGTTTGACCCGTCGTCAAGGCTGGGCTCAAAGCCGAGGCTGCATGCCAAGCTCTAAACCAACTCTGCCAGGAGTCGTGCTGACTAGGAGCCAGAAAGAGTCATCTTTCGTGGCGCCAGTCTGAACCTATACAGGCCATTTCACAGCCAGCTCCCTGTCGACTGTCACAAGATCATACACACGTCAGGAACAGCATCTAAGTAGGCACCATGCCCCAGTCTCCATGGACTGATGCCAATCCTGCCCGTCTGATGGAAACAGGCTGTTAAAATGGCCACAACAACTGACCTATTGCCTTCCTGTGGCTTGGAATTTTAACTCGTCTTGAACAGGCAAATGGGGATTCATTAAAAGGCAGTGGGACTAAGTTTTAATGATGTAACATGCACAGAGTCTGACTGTAAATTGAATTCCATGAAGAAATCGTGTTTTACCCCAACAGTCCAAATTTGTGACAAACACGAGCAACTCCACAAAAGACCCAGGAAATGCATTAATTTCCCTTCTGTTTTGGGTCTCCTTGTGGACTTGTAGGAGCAAACATGTTCCACAATGAAGCCTTGGCAGTTCCCTGCCATCAGCTTTCCTCCTGCTCCCTGATGTCTTTCTAAATCATACTTCCAGTTGTGTAGTGACAGACATGGGAGCTACACTGTTAGGTCCTCCCATTCCCCCAAAGGTGGCAACCTCCTGTCACACCATTTCCCACTGTGTTCACATAGGTACGTGACCAATGCAGGAGCGACCTGGATAGTTCAGATGGTTGAAGCAGATAGCACTTGATGCATTTAGGGAATGGTGTGGTGGATACATGCAGGGAAAGGGCATTGAGGGATGCAGGAGGAAAGGTGGGCAGACACTCAGGTGGAATACAATCCTGTTGGTCATAATTGGCCTTTATCATTTAATAGAATCCTTACAGAGCAGAAAGAAACCATTTGGCCCATTAAGTCTGCACCAACCCTCCAAAGTACATCCACCCCAATCCTGTAACACAACATGGGGTTTTTGTCATGGCTAATCTGCACATCTTTGGACTATAATGGGGAAATCAGAGTATCATATCATAGAATCCCTACAGTGTGGAAGCAGACCGTTTGGCCCATACTGGCCCTCCAAGAGCGTCCCATCCAGACCCAGACCCTATCCTATGACTGCATTTCCCACCCCAGACAAATTAGTATAGCCAATCCACCTAACCTGCACATCTTTGGACGCTGGTGAGGAAACCAGAGCACACCCATGCAGACATGGGGAGAATGTGCAAACTCCACACAGACAGTCACCCGAGGCGGGAATCAAACCCAGGTCCCTGGTGCTGTGAGGCAACAGTGCTAACCGCTGAGCCACCGTGTCACCTTACGTCTGTGTGTTAAATTCTATGTAATTGCCAGTGTCTCAGCCTTGGCTGTTTTGTTTCCTTTTTAATAGTGCTGAGCAGATGATATACATTTGCAATCAAAATTGTGTTGTCTTGTTATTTCCTTTGTCTCCATCTGTGCATCAGAAATCTGACAAAAGGCTTTCTTTTTATCTCCCCCATCATTCAGCTGACTTCTAAGAGTGGTGAGGACAGCAAGTAGCCTGGAGATGAGCTCTCCTTCGTCAATCTCAGTGGAGGGTCGTCGGAGTAGAGAGCACAGCTCCAAGTGCTGAAGATGTGATGGGAGGGCCTCCTCAGTTACAGCACTGCAAACAGTAACTATTCGATAATTCATTGCTGTACACACACACACACACACACACACGTACACGCACACACACACACACACACACACACACACACACGAACACACACACACACACACACACGCAAACAATTCTTCTGACTCACAAAATGCTTCTTTTGTTTCTCAAAGCCCTGGTTTTCCATTACAACAGTACAGTTCTGATCGAATTTTCAAGATTAAAACCTGAACACTTCTGGCATATTTTGACTTCTCACCCCAAAAGTTGGCAAAAATTGCAGCAGCAACAGGGCAAATGGAATTGCTCACTTATACACTTGCAAGGAACAAACTCCTCCAGCTCTTGGATTTTGCAGAGTGAAACCTCAATGCAGTTTCTTCACCTTCATTTCTGAGTCCAGAAATTGCCGATGTTAATATGTTGCAATGCACTGATTAAAATTATACCATCAGATTGAGGGTGTGCTGGTATTTTTGTAGCCTTTGTCTGTCTGTATCAGATTTTGGGAAAACAGCATCAGTGCACTGTTCGGCCAGCTCAATAATCAGACCGAGCAGCTGGGCACCTCATGTTGTATCATGACAGGTGAGGCTATTCAGTGCCTTTTGGTCTTTGGATTATATTTCATCTCCACTTGTACACCTTTGCTCCATAACCTTAATTGCCTTATCAAACAAAAACCTGGCCAATCTCAGTCTTCAAATGTTTATTGACTCCCATTCCCACAACCTGTAGGAGAAGAGAATTTACAAGTCATTTGGTGGTGGGTAAAAAGCCATTTGGTTGCGTGTGAGAAAGAAGAGAATTTAGAATCCACTAGCCCTTTGTGAGAAGCAATGGCTTCTTAATTTACCTCTTAAATGGCCCAGATCTAAATTTAAGGTCATGTTCCTTTGATCTCAATGACTCCAATTTTGGAAATAGTTTCTTCGTATCTATAATATCAAATTATTTTAACATTTTTAAACACCCTTGATGACATAACATCTCAAGATTTGATAATAACAAAATGCAAGTCTGATTCATGCAAACTGCCTTTGTAAGTTAACGCTCTAAGTCCTGTAGAGGGAGGAATCATGGAAATACCACTTCATTTGATGCCCGTCTGAGACACCAAACAACAGAGAATAACAAAGAGGAGAATTGCAGACACACAGATTCTGGTGGAGCTGTGTTGCTGCTGGGTGCTGAAACCTTGGTTGTTTGTACTGGGAAGTACAATCAATGGAGGGAAATCCGAATGCAGCACTACTAAAGTGTTCAGGCATCTCAGGTTCATGGTCAAGAATCAGGATATTTCACAGGACCTTTCTCACCAAGACCAGGGCCAAGGCCAGGAGAAATGGAATAGGTGGCAGGGCTCTCCTGGACTCAATCCAGGTGGCACCAAAATGAAAGTGGGCGATTCCCGACACAGAAGTGGGCGGTGGAAAGACTTTCTCAATGCATTAGCACTGCGTTGGAGTTTTAAAAACATCGCTCATATTCTTCCTGCCAACTTATCTCCCAGTACCTCACCCCAAGTTCCTTTATATCCTGAAAGGCAACTTATGCCCTACTGTCCAACCTCCCTGATCCTTGCTGGTTGAATAGCCAATCTCAAATACCTTGTCCTACTCCCTGGATGCTCATTGTGACCTTGTAGAGGTTTGTAAATTCGTGATGGATATAGGTAAGGTGAATGACAGGTGTCTTTTCCCTAGAGTGGGGGATTTCAAAGCTAGGGAGCATATTTTAAAGATGAGGGGAAAAGGATTTCAAAAAGACACAAGAGGCGTTTTTTTTTGACACGGAGAATGGTTCACGTATGAAATGAACTTCCAGAGGAAGTGGTGGATGCGGGTACAGTTATAACTTTTTAAAGACCTTTAGATAAGGTACGTGAATAAGGAATGTTTGAAGGGATATGGGCCAAGTGCAGGCTGGTGGGACTAGTTTAGTTTGGGATTATGGTCAGCATGGACTGGTTGGACCAGTCTGTTTCTGTGCTGTATGACTCTATGACACCTTTGCCAGTGCCTACATTGTGGACTCTTCCAGCTGGAAAGTTCTTAATGCCTCCCGTTTCTCTCCTCATCTTTGTCTACAAGATCCATTGATTTGGCAGCTGTGAGCTTATTTTAGCTTATTGTCAGAATGGTTGTGATGGAAACCTGGTTGAGAGGTGATGACATCTCTCCGCAACGTAAGATATCCCACCTGGGTATAAAAGCCACAATTTATTCTGTATAGACTTCCATTGGTGTGTCTTTTATCATTGAAAATACCTTGATTTTTTATTTCCCATTACTCTTCTAGTACTTTTTCCACCTTTCTCATATTGCAAACCCACCCCCACCTCCTGGACCTCTAACATCCACTGAAACAGTAAACAGCATAAAAATATTCTTACTGAGATATCTTCACTGCATTCCTCCCTCAGCCTCTCCACCAAACAGCATCTCATCCTCTGTGACTCCATTCTCTATGTGATCTCACGTTGTCTATCCTCTGAGTTCACTCCCATCTTTGCTTCACCTCGTTTTCCATGTGCACTTCGCAACCCATATTCATGGCAATCCCATTGAGCTTTCCGTGTCACATGCTTAATTACAGATCAGGCCAAGTCTTTCTATTATTCTCCACCCACCTTTTTCTTCCTCATCCTACTTCTTTCTGTACCTGTCCCTGAATAAATTCTCTTCCAATTAACTTACACCAAACTTTCAAACTCACAAATCTCCTTGATTCTCCATTCATCATGACATTTCTACATCTATGCTGCCCTTACCAAAATTAAAATTATTACTCTGTCTCACCTTGTTTGTTCCATTTGGTATGGTCCTTATTTCCATTCCCTCGAGTGAAAACCCTCCAGCCTTGTTACAGAGGATAACTAATTTACCCATCAATCAAATCTGGCTGGACCAGATAAAGCACAATGAGATCTTACCGTCAATAGGAAATCCTGTACATCATTCCAGGATTATCCTGAGTGCAACCTGAATGTTTTTCTTTGCTGCAAATTGTCTTCTTAAATTCCATTTCCTTCTCCATGATGCCCTCTGCTGTTACCTCTGAGAATATATTCAAAGGGCTGATGGACTAAAATTTAGACTTTCCAATCCTCCACCTCTGCCACTCGTATCTTTTTCTCTGGCATTTGTATCCTTCTCTGTTTTTTTCTTCTTTATCCCTTTCTCTCTAAATGTGAGGTGTTGCATTTTGGTCAGGCAAATCAGGGCAAGACTTATACACTTAGTGGTAGGGTCCTGGGCAGTGTTGCTGAACAAAGAGACCTTGGAGAGCAGGTTCATAGTTCCACGAAGATGGAGTTGCAGGTTGTCAGGGTAGTGAAGAAGGTAGTTGGTACACTTGCATTTATTGGTCAGTGGATTGAGTATAGGAGATGGGCTGTCACGTTGCCACTCTACAGGACATTGGTTGGACACTTTTGGAATACTGCATTCAATTTTGGTCTCTCTGCTATAGGAAAGATGTGTTAGAAAAAAATATTACAAGGGTGTTGCTGGGATCGCAGGGTTTGCGGTATAGAGAGAGGCTGAATAGGCTGGGGTTATTTTCCCTGGAATGTCAGAGGCTGAGGGCTGACGTTATAGAGATTGAGTGAGGCAAGGATTGAGTGAATAACCAAGAAACAACACAATATGGAGCTGGAGGAACACAGCAGGTCAGGCAGCATCAGAGAAGCAGGAAAGTTGACATTTTAGGTCAGGACACTTCTTCAGAAATTCCTGACCCGAAACATCAACTCTCCTGCTCCTCTGATGCTGCCTGACCTGCTGTGTCCCTCCAGCTCCATACTGTGTTGTCTCTGACTACAGTATCTGCAGTCCTTGCTAATTCTGGTTGGATAACCAAGGTCTTTTTCACAGCGAAAGAGAGTACCAAACTAGAGGGCATAGGTATAAGGTGAGAGGAATTTCTTCAGCCAGAGGATGGTTAATCCGTGGAGCTCTTGCTGTAGAGGGGCGTGGAGGCCAGGTCATTGAGTGTATTTAAGACAGAGATAGGTTCTTGATTAGTAAGAGCATCAAGAATTACACAGAGAAGACAGGGGAATAGGGTTGAGAAACATATCAGCCATGATCGATTGGTGGAGTAAACTTGATGGGCCAAATGATGTAATTCTGTTCCTATACCTCACGGTCTAATGCACCCCTCTGTATATCATCAAAAAACACAACTTCAGTTTTCACCACCTCAACATCCGATGAATCTACCTTGTCAGGCTGTTTGTTTGGTGTTCAGTACTGAATGAGCAGAAATATACTCCAACTAAATATTGGATAAAAACAAACCACAGTGTTCATTCTGCACCACATTTCCCTTCTCTAGCTACCTTATCTCTGCTTCTTCCTGGCAAATGTCGGAGGATGAAGCAAGCTGTTCATGACCTAGTGATCAAAGTTGGCCCTGCGTTGAGCTTCCAGCCATATACCCACATCACCATTAAAACTGCTCATGCCCTTTTATTTAACACTGCCTACTGTTCTGAGGAAGGGTCACCGGACCCGAAACGTTAACTCTGTTTTTTACCTTCACAGATGCTGCCAGACCTGCTGAGCTTTTCCAGCGACTTTGTTTTTGCTACTGCCTATTATTGGCCTGGCCGCAATACATCTGTTACTTTCTTCAGTCTTGCATTGTTGGTCAATCTATAACTGTCACCTGTCTGGAATTTACTCCATAAACCCCTCTCCCTGACCTCTTTTTAAACCCATTCAGATTTTGGTCATCCCGTTCTTTCAATGAGGAAATTGGAGGCAAAACCTTCACGACACATTTGAAGTCCTTTACTACCTAAAAGGGACATTATTGCTGCTGTTGAAGAAGTACTGATGGTCCCAGTGAAGTTGAGCTGAGAATCTATGTATGTGGGGCAGGGAAGGATTGAGGAGGAGTCTATATAACCTGGGATTAAGATCCCATAAAATGCACCTGTGCAGCCAATTCATCAGAAAGTCTTAGTATTTTCCAGCAAACAAATTGCCTATTGATGTCATATATGATATGCTTGGATTAGATCGGTAATATCAAGGAAGTCATCCTCTCTCAAAGGCGTAACAGTAACCGCACCTTGTGTTTATTTCACATATATACAGACTGGGGGTGGGGAATAGGATCAAGGGATAGCCATTGAAGCAGACAGTGTCTTCCTTCACACAAACTAATTTCTCCCCAGTTCTGAATGCAGAAGTTGGGACTGTGTTGCCATTTTAGAGGGAAGTTATGTGGCGTATAGGCTGGCTGGTGTGAGTCTTGTTTATTTGTCACATCAATCCTAGTGACTACATGGGTCCCTTGTTACTGCAGTTTGATGGTCTCTCAATTCATCCCACAACATTAATCTGCTGCTCTATTAACCCTTTCAATTCATGGAATAGTTGAATCTTACAGAAAGAAGCCATGTGACCCAATCATTTCTGTGCTGCCTCCT